ACGAGTGCTTTTGCTTTTTTAAAGTTAAGAAACCCTGCCACTGTAGCCTCGCACTTTTCATCAGTGTGAAAGAATTGATCAAATTTCAGCATCAACATAAATGGGTTAAACCGAGTTGAAATGAGCATAAAGAAACTTTCAAAAGGTAAAAATATAAACAGCACACACACACACACACACACGCACACACGCACGCACTGTGAAATATACTGAAGGCCAAACATCCTAGTAAAGCAGTGACAAATGGAGCACGTTTTGAATAGCAGTAAGCTTAAAAACATGAACATTAGATTGAGAAATTGAATTATTAAGATTTTTACACATACAGCCATACATTATTTTGCTTCTGCTCTGTTTTGTTAAGTTAAAATAACTGTTTCTTTGTTTCTTCAGCAGGGACGTTGTTTCGATATGGCTGTATGTGCAAAAGACCTACTGTGTGGGTCGGAGTGGAGTTGCCATTTAGACTGAAGGTAGACTTTTTAGTGAACATGAGGGGTTTAGGGCAGACCGTGCAAAATAATAAGTCTCAAAAATCTTACATAAGGATTTAAAGAAGTTTTCATTTTCTGAAAAGCAGATTTGTACGGGAGAATGACGCAAAGACCCCAGTAGACTGGAGAGCACAAGTCTGGGAGCTGAACAGACCTTAATTTGCATGCTGAAGAAAAACCCTTTATGACTGTGCAGTTAGTCAAGAAGGTACTCCAGCATGTGTGTGCACAGGTTGCAGTGTCAACAATCAAGAGAAGACTTCTTGCAGATGCTCAGAGGACCTGCTGCAAGATGCAAAACCACGGTAAGCCTCAAAAGCAGAAAGGCCACCTGCAGCTCACATAAACATCCAAAAAGAAAGTTTCGGAGCACAAGCGTATGAAATGAGGGAGCAAGTTTTGTCTAAACGTAGAAAGAAGAAAGACAGGAAAACGAAAAAAATAAGCAGCTCCACCCAGAGCATCAAACATGGAAGTTGCAGCTATTTTGTCTTAAAATGCTTCCGGTGGAACTGATTGTTTCACACATGACACGATGCAGAGGTGCACAAATTCGACTGATGGGTTAAACCTAACTGGAAAATTTGTCATCATCCAGCAAGACTGTTTTCCTAAACTACCAAAGAACATTTTAGAGTAAAGACGAGGTATTTCCTCCACTGGCTGAGAGCAGACACCCCACAGAACCCACGAGCTCAAGGAGATTACAGTGAAGCCCGGAGAGAGCATCAAGCATCTGCTGATATCTGCGAGACAAAGACTTCAGGCCATCATTTACTGCAAAAGTTTTCACCAAAATGTTATATGTGAGGATTTGCTTTGTCCAAATGAATCCCTGCGCTGTGTCTCCACTCAGTTGTTTCCATAATGACACAAACCCGATGAAATTAAACATATTTAAGGTGTTGGTGCTTTAATGCACAGTTACTGTATGTCAAACTGAATGGGCTGAACACAGAGCCTGGAGAACAACAGATGCTTACTACTGGATTGTAAAGAAAAATTACTTCAAGACGTTAAAGCAGTGATTTTAAGGTGGGGCAGAGGAAATAAAAAGCAGCTTTAACTTCTATTAAAGGTCTTTACAGAAGTGTGAGTGTGATTAAAAAAAAATCTTAGAAACAAAAAGTGTTAGTCACTCCGGGGAAAATAGCAACGTATTCAAGAGCCTTGTTCAGGCAGTGTCATAAACCACATACAGTAGAGCAGTTCCTCACAGCCTGTCTGAAACATCAGGGGACTGTAGACATCAACCCGCCAGTGCTGCAACCTGCAAGCTTTTATATTTAGACACATGAATCTTTCACAAGGCCCCGTAGAACTGGGATGGGGTTGTTCGGTTGGTGAGGTCACCACCCATCAAAAGCAGCCTTTTCACCCAACTGAACACCTCTCTCTGGGGCTGAGAAACGGCCCTCTGCGTCCTCTTCCATTTCATCCCAGAGGAGCACACGAGCACTGACTGTTTATCCTCATCACAAGGAAAAAGTTACGTGCATGTCCCCAGAGCTGCACTTCACTACTAGTGGGAGTAACTTGTAAACCATGCACATTGTCAAATAAACTAATGAAAGGACGATTCCTTATCAGTTTGTAGTTCTTCCTTTTTTCTCACTCTAGCCCTAAATGTGTACGTCTGAATCTAAATCCAGTGCTTTTGTCCCACTTTAATTCCCCATTCTTCCACTTTCTAATTTCTGTTTATATTGAAAATTCATTTCTGTTGACCAGTGGTTTGTGTGGGTTCAGCATTTCCTCCTGCGATTGACTGCCAACATTCTCCACTGCTTCGGACAGCATTTCTTTTATTTTTTTTAGTCCGCCTCTGAACAAAAGAGGCCATTTTGTCACCCAACCAAAAAGAACTATCAGGTCATAATCGCTTCCAAACCATCTACAGTGGCCCACAGGGGGCAGTACTTACACACCTGCCACATTATAAAGCAATTTGATGAGTAATAATGTCCCAAAATGTAAAAAGTGTCCACTTTAGCTCTAAAGGGTGCACTCAGGACAGGGTGCGGTGGAAAAATTACGAGCTTACAGCTTATATTTGAGCTATTTTCCTGCCTTTCATTTTTAATTTCACACATTTTATGCACTTTCAAGGGCAATTTCTGACCCTGCTTCTGTCCTGTCGCTACCTGCTTTCATCTTTTCTGACTCCACCTGTTTCATATTCCCTACCAGTGCCTTACTATAAGAGAAACAAGAACGCAGGAGTGAGAAGGGGAGAAAGACAGGATGGCAGACAGTCGGAAACAGATGAAAGATAGATAAAGATAGAAGCTGGCTAGGCTTCAGGAAAGAAAAAACCCTCCTGCCTGCTCTCTGCGCGCCGCTCACCAGATTTCTCTGCCTGCTTTTTTTCAGAATCCCTAATCTTGCCTGTTAACAACCTGCCAATAGGGCCGCTGTCCTCATGAATAAACATACGGAGAGTGGAGCATGGCCCTGAAAACATGACAACCAGCGCTCATGTGAGCACGCCTATAATGCGAGTGAGCTTGCCTGCGACTCAGTCCATCACTTAGCACTTTTTTTCCACTTCTGAAAATGTCGCCACCTTCAATTGGCAGGCTTATGATCTTTTAATAATGATGACAGGTAGCAAATGGGTGGAGTGCTGAAAGCTATGAAGAGGCTGTGTGGTGGAGATGAGTGGGCTGACTCACAAGAGCTCAGAGTTAAAGCTCCGCTGCGGGGTTAGACAAATAATTTGCCTGTTTTTGTTAACTGGGCTTGCACTGGCCCTTGTTTTCCTCTCCTGGTGTGATAAATGTCTGACGGAACCAGATGCAATAAAAGAACAGAGCCACGAGTTCTGTCAACCTGATGTTCATTCGTTAAGAATTTCAGTTGCTCTTCTCCAAGAAGCTTTCCCACCCTCAGGATAAAAAAAGTGAAAAATGGACAAGATAATAGGCAGTGAAAACTGGATAGTGCTGGCTATCAAAAAGCCATGCTGGAACTCTAAGGTAATCATTCCTTAAACAGGATGTGGCTGCAGTCTGTCTTTGAATCAAGCATCTACTGGAGCCAGACAGGTCAGGCCTCTGAAGGCGCACAAATCCCTGACGGCCAAAGAAGACGTGCTTCACTTGCCTCCACCAGCTGTATCCGCCACCGTCCTCCATCACTCCCTCTTTCCATCCACCCCCACCCCTTCCTCTGAGCTGCTCAAGCTGCCTTGTGTGCTCTGTGTGTGCGGGAGCAGCACTTTTGACAGGGTGACTGTGGCGATGCTGACCCAAGTCGAGCTGAACGCCCTCGGGCGTCAGTTACTCCAGCTGCACATATAGAGCAGCGCGTGGGGCACCCGATGAGACAGTGAGACAAGATCACTCCTACTTGCCTCCTCCCTCCCTCCTCCTTTTCTCTGCTTCCCCTCGCCACCGAGCATGCTTCTCTTTGCGACACAGGAACACCTTATGCATTATTAAAGACACTTTTCCTAAAAAGGCTGCTAGCACATTATTCTGCAACCACAGTGACATGTCTCGATGCTCAAAATGTCCACTTTAGCTCTGAAGAATGTGCTCACCCAGGTAGCTCTCTCAAGCTGACAGTATTGTGAAAAGGTTGGAATAGTCACACAGTTTAAAGCGACAGACGCTTGGAGCACACAAATGATGGCTCAGTGTTACCTACGAGTTTTTGATAGCATTAGATATAAATGACAAAGCACATAAAGCACAAAGTGACTTCAAATCTGATATCAGTCACTAATTTATGCCAAAAGCAAGTGTAGCTGATGCTGTGTATGAAGTGTAAACTAAATCCAGAAACCCTCCAATGCACACTGTGATCCTCCAGTCAGAATTTGGATGGAGCCTGAACCAAAGAGCGCTCATGTTTAATGATAATGGTTAAAGGCATCTGCTTAAAACAGCAAGGGTTTTTTTTAGACTAATTCAAGGTGAAGCCATTCTAGTCTTGAAGATTATAACTATTATTTTAAAAAAATAGCATAACTGTACTGCCACATACTGCTTTGTGACAGACCTGGTGTCACTCATTGGGCTAGGAAGCATCTTTAAATCACACCAGGAGCTACCAAATGTGCAAAAGTGACCAACACCTAAACCAAATATACCAAAAAAGCTTCTAAATGCAAGAGACAACACAAGGATGCATTAAAGGTGGAGTAACTGCTTGCAGCGTGACACTAATATAATTATACATGGCAGTGAAGCAAGGAGTTCCACAAGGGGGCGCCTCTAAAAAATGACCTGAGGAAATTGTGTCATGTTTTTGGATGAATTCAAGGGCACCTTATTTCTACATGTTAACACGTCTTCTTTGCTTTAAACTTTGTCAAGCTGTCCAGAAACCAAAGCCCAACAGCTGCCTGCCCCATCCTTAGCTGTTTATTGCTGGAGATAAATGCATATAAACCAGACTCACCAACTCCCAGCAATGTTAGAATTTATTAACCGGAGTGTAAAAATTATTCCTCAACGCACAAAAGAAAAAGTAAACTTCACAAGCAAATGGAAAACTCACATTTCTTTGAGTGCCTCTCTGGGAGTCCCGCTGCTCTTTAACGCCGCTCAACAAGTTCAGAGCAGCAGAATGAACATGAACGAAGAATGAAGCTCTTTAAGACGCGCTCCTGAACGGGAACGTGATGAGTACGCACGTCAGTCTCCGAGGAATCGCTGCGCGCACCATCTCTCGCTCTTGTTTCAATCAAGAGGAGGATTTTCCTGCCACTTCAAAACAAATGACTGATCACCGTCCTGAGGGCTCGGTCAGCACCGCGCCTGCTGGAAACGCGGGGGATCTCTGAGCAAGACTCCGGTGCCAAAGTGTCCATCATCCTCTTTTCTGGTGTCATTCCATCACGGTGTCAAACCTGAAGCACAATGATGTCCACGGAAAAGGGAACCCCCCACCCCATCCCATACACACAAACGCACACACACACAGTACCGCGAAAGAAACTTTGACCTGCTGGCGCGCTTTCCTCCTCTCTGCGATCTGCTTCCTATATTTCCAAAGACTGCTGAGAGCGGATCTCTGCGCGGATCCCGTCCCCACTCTCCCCTTTCTCTCCTTCTCCCTGGCTATGAATAGGTTTCAGCCACTCAACAGGGACATGAATCACAGACAATTAGTCTCGGCTGCTGAGAATATCCGCTCGCATCAACGCATCTTCTCCTGGCCGTTTCCCCAGCAAGGCGCAGCACCAACCGCACAGACGGAGATGACGGGGAAGATAATGCGCTCCGAGGCTCTATTAGATGAGACGCACACTCAGCGTGTTTCCCCCCCCACACACACGCATACCTATGGTTTTTCTCCACACCCCTCCAGCCCTTCTCCACTTCGACATACTCCTCCACCCCCCACCCACACCCCTTCTTCACAGACATCAACACGCACAATCCTCTTTCGGGACCCGTTAGAAACTCAGAAGGGAGGGGGATTGTCTGTAGTTGAACCTTGTTTGGTTGAGTTCACACGAGTCGGCTGATCGAGTTAAATTATCCAACAAATGTGGGCGTGAATATAGTCTCAAAGGAATGATTGCATCCGGGCAAAATAGAGGGGGGGATCATACTCTTGGTGATTACTACTTAACAGCCATCCGAGCATGTGAGAGGAAAAAAATAGAAGAAAAAAACAATATTTGTGCTTTTGATTTCACATGCAAAGCCATTGTGAAGTGTGAACGTGTTGAAATGCCAGGATCTTATTTATAATTAGATTTATTAGCTATAGTTCTAGTAAAGCGAATTTAATGTGTGTTGTAACTATTCAAAATGGTGCGTAATTGCTCCAAAATCCCTCTGACGCAAATAAAAACAGTGGTACCATACGTTCACTGTTCCCGCCTCGTTAAACGGGCTGTTTTAATTCCAAATACGTGTAAATTGGGACAGATTAGCATAATATAACCAAGACTGAAAAAAATGGAAATGAACAAATAAGGGCGAAGGCTCCACTGAAAGTGTCTATTTTAAAATTTTAAAACTCAGTTACTGTGGGTGAATACGTCCGTGGGATTACATAGATATAAATAATACAAAAATCTGTTTATCAGAGTTTAACATTCGAAGTTTAACATCTGTGGGTGAAGAAGCGACGTTGTTTATATTAATTTAAGGATCTCATAATCTACTTTTTAAAAAAAATTATAATAATTATTATTATTTAGTTAGCGCCCAGTGTGTTCTGTATTATCACCCCTTAACACAAGGAGCAAGAGAAGACGGGATGTTAAGGAGTCGGGTCATGACACTTGGCGCGCAGGTTAACCTCACAGTAGCTTGACAGCCTTACAGTTGAACGAGTGTCTACAGTCTATCTAGTCTCTAAAGGCCAAGACAGGCCCCTAGTCACCCCCTACCCGAAACCAACCTGTGTTAAGGCTGGTGATGTTCAAGGATGTGGTTAAAAGGAAAGAACAGACACACAGACTTCATAGAAAACGTTCGTTGGGCTTTTTTCTTCTTTTTTTAAATATCGATCAAAGAGCCTGAGAGAAAAAAAATGTATTTGATGACAAGTGTCTGCCAAGCCTTATTGTAATTTTTAGTTTGACTTTAAAGTGGGAATATCGGCACGCAGCAGTGCTGATTCGTTTCGAGTTAGACGTGGAAATGCTTCCTGCTTTGGTTCTGTGCACCTACAGCGCATCCACGTGTCATTTAAACAACGTATACAAGTGATTTGGAGCAAGATTTTAAGATAAATCTTTCTGTTCAAGGAAAGTGTGAAACAGCACTTTCTTAGTAGGACAGCGGCATTGAGGCTACACCTGATCTCATACTGGATGTACCACAGAAAAGGTACCGCTTTTTATTAGAGCATCTCTCCGCACAGCAAAGAGAACCTGAAAGGTAAAAAAAAAAATAGCATGTGATCTCAAAATAGTCGCCTTACTTTCTCTTATCACGACGCACCTTTTGGTTGCCCACTTGGCGCGCGTCGTAGCGAAGCTTCAAAAGTTTATGCGCCCCTCCATCCAGCTGGACATCAATTAAAGAAATAAATCGGCTGCCTGAGCCTCTCACCTTGGGCTTCGGTGGTTCATTCCGTAGGTAGCAGCCGGTAATGTAGCCTGTTGCAGACAAATAAATCCGCTTTAAAACGGGACATCTTAGCACGGCGCGAGAACGGCACACTCCGCGACCCGCTTGTCTCTGCCGCTCCCGGGGAATGGAGAGGAGCTCCCTGCACCGACGCAACGTCACTTAGACCTGGACACACAGGTGGAGATTTTTCCAGGAGAAAATCCCACAAAGTCGAATGTAATTGTATCTTTAAATCGTTTGGTTATTAAAAAAAAGAAAAAGAAAGAAAGAAAGATTTAAAAAAAGGAGAGACACAGAGATACCTCGAGTGGCCCCTTAAAAAAAGAAAGAAAAAAAAAAGAAGATCCTCGGAGACGGCAGAGTGGCCAGACCCACTGCTCTCAGACACAATGAGGTGGTGAGGCTTTGACAACTGGCTTTCACCTGAAGTTTAATTCTACGAAGTGGCGAGCAATAGCTGAGTGCAACCATGAACAGAAATATACATATTCTTTAATTTTCTTTTTACATTTTTTTTTTACAATTATATGGCTTTAAGTAGGAAATGCACTGTCTAAATATGTGACAGCATTAAAACTTTGGAAACAGGAGCATCGCTACTGAGTGGGAAAACCCTGTTTGTGGCAGAAAGAAAAAAGCTCTATGGAAAAACGGCTGGCAGTAATTCTGTTAGTCTTCATTTCGAGCAGCTGCTTCCAGAGAGGTGTTTTGTTTGCTTAAAGTCACGTTGTTAAAAGTCAAAGGTGAACCGTCTGAGTAGACAAACATGTAAAACTTATACTGCTATGCAAAGAGCTGGAACAATGGATTATATAAGCTGTGAATGACAACATATTGCAACACTAGAGGGGTTAAGCAAGTCAATCAACTGATAAATCAAACAGAAGCATGCCGTGAAGCAACTCTTGCCTGATTTTTTTTTTTTGCTTTTCAAATTGGAGAATATTGCATTATTTGCTCACTTGTCTTGCATCTTTAGCAGTTACAGCTGAGGGAGTGGGCTTCCAAGGCAGCATATGAGTCAGAAACAGAGTTTTCAAGGCTAGAAATCTCAACAATAAGCCAGTTGAGTCACTAATCAATAAACCCTATCAAATCCAGTACTCTTACATGGCCCACAAAACATTTTGTTTCATGGGACCGTTCCAGTGTCAATTAATTCATCTCTCACTTTACTCGTGTCACTGTGGAAAGGTTAAGGATACAGCGTTGACCATCTGAGCTGAGAAGACAGCTCTTCATGCAGCTGCCTCTCTCTTTTTCCCTCTCTTCTGTGAGCCCAAGGGCAACTTGCCTGACATGAACCTCTTTTTCTAATTCACTCAGCGACAAGAAAGAGGAGAGCGCAGAGGAAAGCTACCAAAGAGCACATTAAATTCCCACTTATTGACTCAATACAAAGACACCATATAAAATGTGGACTCACAATACATTTCTGAAGCTCATCTACAGACTGTTAAGCCCTATTCTGTCTTTTATTCAAGGCCTAAAAACACTAAGCTCACGCAGACTGGGTTTGAACAGGGATTCTGTAAATGAAGCCATTCGCCAATAAAAGGCTAAAGTACCTGAATACTAAGAGATAACCCCGTGTATGTTAACATGTTAAGGTAAGGCTGTGCCGAACAAGACGCACTAAAGGTCAGCAAGGGAAATGAAAGGAGGATGTGTTTGAATGTGGAGGAGTATTATTATTCAAGGACAAAATGACCATGTGCCATCAAATCCATCAGTGGGTTCAATAGATGGCTCTTTACTTAAGAGACCAATAATCACGAGGCCCACTCTTCCAGTATCTCACCACTTCACTTATGTGCTGTTAAGTTTTGTTTTCCTTTTCCTCTTCTTCTTCTTCATGATGGTTATTAGTAAATTGATGAGTTACGCTGTTTTTGCACATCCCTGTCTGGCGGATGCCAGGGACGGATGTATTGAATTTTTTGCACCTGTTGAATGGACGGTAATGTTGCCGGTATCCAGAAGAGTCTGTCCGTTAGTCAATGGGGTGGAAGGAGGAGAGGAAGGCAGGTTATTAATACAGGAATAGTGCAAGTAATAGTTAAAGTTAAAGAGAGGGCATGCTAGGGCAGAAAGTAAACCAAAGGGTTAAATAATCAGTAACCCAGAAGCACAAGGAGATCACAGAGGGCATGCACAGGGAGGCCAAACAGAAACATAACAACGCAGCTGACAAACAGTCTGACAAGGACAAAGAGGAAGAAGGGACTATTTAAACACACTGGGCAGGCTGGGAGCACAAAAGAGGGGGGAATGAGACACAGGTGCAATGAAATTACACACAGGTGAAAACAATCAGGATAATCACACAGCAGCAAGTAAAACTAACACAAGATGTGAAAGAAATCACACCTTCAAAGTAAAACAGGAAACAAACCAAATGCAAATGGTTAACACAGAAGCAAAAAGACTTGCACTACATATGACAGAGACAGTGGAACAACGCTAACAGACGAGACAGAGCAGACACATAAAACTGCAACTAATAAAAACAAGACTAAAAATTAATTTAGAATACAAAATCCTCAAAATGACACAAACCAGTCAGATCGTGTCAGAAAGATAGTGGCAGAAGTATTCTGAACATGAACAAGAATGAAAACATCTTACACAGTTTTCTGCAATTCATACTTACAGACACTGAAAGCGCTGTCGTAGATTGTGCCACTGACAAATACATGAGGCGCTACAATGTTTTTAAATGCAATAACGGCAGTGGGTAAAGTACCAAAGCTGATTAATGTTTAACTCAACACAACACTGTTGCATTGCTTTAAATATCACAAATCTCCACATTCCTTCAGAGTTGTGTGGAGACTGGGTGAGTTCATATTGTTTGGTTATAAAACATTCAAAAAGTTGAGGAAGGAAATTTAGGGAATCTCATTTTAATCACTATTATTCAAGTTTTAATCACCTTTTAGTGATGACAGAGAGTCATAGCTTGCTATGTAAAGCATCTATGTGTCTCTTTGGAGGTGAGACAGTGAGTAAGTGTCGGGACCAACACAGGGCTCACGTCACCGGGTGGGATGCGTTTGGAAAAGACTGAATCAGGTCAGCCTCACCACTATTATGCACCTGCTCCATTCGGACTTTGTGTCAAACGTTTATCGTGCTCCTTTCAGTCGGGCACTAACCCTCCGCTCCAATCTGCTGCCTGCAGACCTCTGCTGCTTATCCAATCCTGCACGGTGTCCTAAACCCATAACCCAACTCACCCAAATTGAAATATCATATTAAGTTATAAAACAA